CTGCATCGCTTAACTGCAAAAGCATAATACATAATCTGTGTGCTACTTCTGAAGTACTACAGTTTTGTTTTGTTTGTTTTTGTTTGTTTTGCTTAATATTGTATCCAAGTGCCAACCAGTCCTTGACAGGAAATACTCATTTAATAAACAGTTCATGAAGATGAGGCTTGTAGTTAATATTGAATCCTGGGCTGGTGAGCAGATGTTATAGGTATTCTAAATTCTTCCTGTTCAAACTATGTCACAGAACTGTGTGTATCAGAGTCTCTGTGTGTATTTCTCTGAAATGAATTGCTATTATGTATCTAACCTAAAGATTTACCTTGCAAAGTAGAACTCTTGTCCCCGGTTTACCAATGAGGAACCTAAGGTTTGGGTGTGTGACTATTTGATTGATGTTTTCCCTTTTTTTTCCTGTTTGTGCAATTTGACAGTTATACAAACCTCATCAAATGGAATGTAGCAGTCATCTCTAGAAAAATGTCCCTTTCAGGCCTGTTTCACTTGTGTTATTTTTTTGTTTTTTATTAGCTAATTCATAAACTTGTTTTTAAAATTGATAGCAATACACAGGTAGAAGAAATATGTCCTGTCCTGATGTCCTGTGATACAGAGAGGTGGCTGCTGTATATCTTGCTTTTTGAATTTTCTAGATATGCCTAATTATTTTATGTGACAATGAAAAGAATAGCAGGGAAGCCTAGCTTACATCATTTTCATGTCTGGTCATTGAAGCGTTACATCTTTTACTATTACAAGGTTTCAGTGGTGATGCTAGTAAACTGGCTATTTTAACAATGTGTAACTGTGTCTATAGAATACATTTCAGAAGTTGAATTGCTTAGTCAAAGAGATAGCCCCTGGAATTTTTTGTAGAGAAAACTGAGTGTGGCTGTTCATTCGTGTAAACCAGCACTCAGGTATGCTTTCGGTCAGCCAAGACCCTGTCTCTAAATAAGTAAACAATTATAGGTAGTTTTATGGAGAAGCGCTAACTTTCTATTAAATTTACTTATTTATTTATTCACTTTACAATCTATTATCAGCCCTTCTTCTTCTCCTAGTCCCTCCATTTCCCTTCCCCTTTTGAGAAGGAGAAGCCCCCTTCAGTGTCAGTCCCTCATTCCCCTCCTTCTACTCCTCTACCTTACTACCATCTCACATCAAGTCGCTGAGGAACTAGGCACATTCTCTCCCACGTAGGCCAGACAAGGCAGTCCATTTAGGGATGTGGGATGCATAGGCAGGGACAATTGCTAACTTTTTACCATAAATGTTATGTAAATAGTCTTCTTTCAGAAATCATTTTGTTATGGTTGTTAATGATGATAGTGATGATGATAGTGATGCTGCTGCTGCTGCTTTGTTTTGTTTTGAGACAGGGTATCTCTATGTACTCTGTCCTAGAACTTGCTATGTAGACCAGGCTGGTCTCAAGCTTACAGAGATCTAACTGCCTCTACCTCCAGAGTCCTGGGACTATAAGTATAAACTACTATTCCTGGTCTTAACTGCAGAACATTTCCTTGTACAAGAGGAAATGAAAAAAATTAATTTGCCTAGGACACACAAAGATACTTTTAAAAAATGGTTTGCTGGGATTCATAGAATCAACTCCTCTGTTTTCTAAAATACTGTCGCTTCCTAATTGAAACTGAAATCTGGTTCTATTATACTTTGGACACAACTGTTCTACCTACCTGCTTTAGCCTTTCATGATCAGACTGCAGTGCCCTGAACCATTGTTCCTGTAGTGGAGCCCAGAACCCAGGACCTTCCTACAAATTCCCTACATGAAATACTTTCCTTCACTAAGAGAAACTCTTTTCTTCCCTTAAGCCTGCCTTAAGCCTCCTTCTCTTTATTTATTAGGCAACTTCATGAAGCTTATTTTCTCTTTATAGATGAGGGTCTATAAAGACTGATCCCTTTATTTCTAAAGCCAGATCCATCTGTCCACACTATTCTCATGTAAAGCTTGAAGGTTTGGCAACTCATAAAACTGAGTACATGCTAATGTTATATATATATATATATATATATATATATATATATATATATATATGTATTGCTATCTTTATGTATCAGGCTTGATATCTTACAGGATTACAAGTAGGAGAATCTTAAGTTACTTAATTGTAACTATGCAAAGTGCAAACTGTGTGCACTCACTTAAGTGGCTGTGTGCAAAGCATTTTTTCATCTCAGTTATTAACAACAGAAATAATGTTATTAACTGACTTTCAATGAAGGAAGATTAATACACAGTGGGCGCTGCTCCCGTTGTTAATATGCAGTACTCCAATCTGCAATGGAGGGCCGAGCGGACAGCTTCCCCTCTGCAAGTTTAATAAAGATTTAAGTTTGTATCGCTTGATTCTTCTGTATAGCTTGGACAAATTAATTTTTTCTCCTATAGATTGAAAAAAGATTAACAGTGTTTACCAAATCTGACTTACTAGGAGAGTGGAAGAGGGATTCCCTGACACGGTTCTCTGTGCGAGAGAAGTCTCAGGAAACAGAATGCTTTAAGGTTTTCGAACATCAGAAATTTTGCTTAAAAAAAATTGCGGGGTGGGGGGGAGGGCAAAGGGTATAGGAACTCCACAGGAAGACAAATAGAGTCAACTAACCTGAACCCTTGGGGCTCTCAGAGTCTGAACCACCAACCAAAGAACATACACACGAGCTGAATCTAGGCTTCCCCCCGCATGCATATATATATATTTGCAGCAGACGTTCAGCTTGGTCTTCATGTGAGTTTGGAGCAACCGGAGCTGGGGCGGGGACTATCCCAAAAGCTGTTGCCTGTAGTACGTGGGATCTGTACTGGCTGGACTGTCCCGTCTGGTCTCAGTGGAAGAAGTGCCTAGCCTAGCAGAGACTTGAAGTGCCAGGGTTAGAGGATACCCAGGGAGTCCCCACCCGCTTAGAGGAGAAGGGGAGGGAAGGATGTGGGAAGGATTGTGGAAGGGGGAGACAGGGAGTGGGGCCTGGAGAGTATATAAAGTGAATAAGAAAAAAATAAAATTAGATTTAAAAAAAAACCAGAAGCTAGTAACTGTTTGCGATTTGAGGTACAAGACTCAGAACCCTATTAAGTATTGTAAGACAAATCACTCAGACAAGAGTTCCAAAAGGGAAACAATAACCCATTCATTTAAAAACACGTTGATTTGTCGTGTACTTAAACTTGGCTGCTTCAGTGGCTTTTTCTGGTCTGAAAGGGAGTGGAGTGACTCGCGTCAACAGGCGCTTGCGTGGTCCCATGGAGGCCACAAGAAAGTTGAGGGAACCCTCTCTAGGGTTGCCAACGGTTAGGAAAGCTCCTGAAATCCGTGCCTTTATCCAGGGCACCGCCTCCGCTGAGTCCCAGTGGTTCTGTGAGTCTCTCCCTTTCCAGCCCTGGGACAACACTGGCTTTTCCTGGCTCTCCCTGCAGCTACAGTGGAGTGTAGAGCTCTCAAACTACTGGAAGCTCGAAGCAGATTTCCATTGCGGGGCTGCTCCGTAGGCGGCTGTGCTGAACCCGGAGCTCCGGTTCAGCTTTCGAGGTTGCGCTGAGGCCAGGTCGGTCCTCAGACCTTCTGAAAGTTGATGGCCAGGAAATTCAGAAAGACCTCCACCCTCGGAGGCAGAAGTGGGAAAGGAACGCCCTAAAGTTAGGGAAGGAGATCAAGTGGTCATGGAAATGTGTTGGGACTAGATGAGGATGTCCTTTGTGCAACACTGTATTTGTGCTAAATGTCATTTGTGATCTTACCCCGGGTACGCATCCCCACCTTGAGATCTTGCAATTTCCCTGTGGAGCCCACGTTGACCTGGAACTCACAGTTCTGCCTTGGGATTCAAGCAGACTGAAGTACAGGTGTATGCCACCCCGACCCAATAATTGTACATTTTAAAAATAATATAGTTCAAGTGCAGCACTATATACCTGCCCTGGAGGCGCATTGCTTTCTGGGGTGTGAAGTTGTGGTAGTGGCAATTTCATGCGCAGTTCGAGCCTGAGAACCCAGCTCAGGCAGGATTCCTGCGCAGTCCTCCGGTGTAAGCTTGCAAAAGGGGCAAGAGTTTGACGGGAGGGGGGCGGGGGGCGTTCTGCTTTCATAATTGAACAAAGAGTCCCACACCACTTTACTATCATAGTCAGGTAAGGACCAAAGTCCACGTGTGCAAGCCCAGGCTTCCTGAATTCCCGTCCACCATTTTAAGCACAGCTCATCCATCTTAAGACCTGGCTTTTGTTATTTCTAGTTTCTGAAATCCGGAAGTGTTTATCTACGGTAGGAGGTTTACAAAACTATTTCTTATATTGTCTGTGACTCAGTCAAATTGTTAAAGTTGTGTTTTGCAAGAGAATTCGTTAGTCTTTGGCACTGTGCCCTAATAATGAATGTTGACGAAATGGGCGGATAAAAACTACTTTTTAAGTTAAGAATCTTGGAGCTCCCAATTTGCTGGAAACTTTAGAAGAGCCACGTAGCCCTTTTTGAACTTTATTTCACTAAATGGCTGCTATGATGCCCACAGTATCAGAATGGGATTGAGCACCAGAGCACAAGAAACCAAGAAACGGTGTTACAGATGGGTACTCAGAAGTTTCAAGACAATTTTTGTAAAATGATAAAGAAATGAAAGCTTTAGTATGAGTTTGGGGAAACGGGAAGGCATTTCTATGCTAAAAACCAGTTGACATTTTAAAAGACATTATATATTTTTTTAAAATTATCTTTAATCCTTTTTTTTTTTTTTTTTTTTACAATCCACCTATTATCCCCTTCCCGGCCTCCCTTGGACAGTTCCCCATCCCATTCCTCCATTCCTCTCCCACCCAGG